CACTTCAGGTTCAAGCCATTCTCCTGCTTCAGCCTTCAGAGTAGCTGGGATTACAGGCACGTGCCACCAGCGCCCAGCTAATTTTTGAATTTTTAGTAGAGATGAGGTTTCACCATGTTGGCCAGGCTGGTCTTGAACTTGTGACCTCAAATGATCTACCAGCCTCGGCCTCCAAAGTAGCATGACCCCTGGCACTCAGCCTGTCATGTATTTTGAATTAAATTATCCCATTTTATTTAACAAAGGGAAATGCCTTTGTTGTTCACCAGTAATCAAGGACAAGGACCAATTTCACTTAGTTACTGGTGTATCCAGTACAGCTGGCATGGTCCCTGCCTTAAGGAAGGACACAAGCAATGTTGAAATAGTCCTTAGAAAGAACTTCCATATCTTGAGAGAACGATCCAAGATGGCCGATCGCTAACATCCCGGGATTGCAGCTCTCAGGGAAGGCGCGGAGAACTAGAGGACGCCACACTTTCGGACAAAGTCTGGTCGCTCACGGAGCAGAAGATCCCCCAGTGGTGGAAACACACGAGTCGCCAGCGCGACTCTCGTGGTCGGCGCAGCGGTTCGCCGGCACCTTGACGCAGCAGCGCTCGGCGCAGAGTAAACGGGACCGGTTCCCCTTCTGACCGAGGTTTGGAACCCCGGGAAGGCAGAGTCGCCTACTACCGACACAAGAAGGAAGCCAGACAGGAGAATCCTGGGCAGAAAAGCACCATCAGTTTTAACGCCGCTGCTCTGGCCCTGGGAACTAACAACCTGGACGTCCACTCAAGAGACCTAATCTGAAAGTTGGTAATTTCAAAGACGACAGGAGAATAAATTTACAATGACGGGAAGAAACCAGCGTAAAAAAGCTGAGAATACTCAAAGTCAGAACGCCTCTCCCTCTAAAGATGATCACAGTTCCACATCAACAATGGAACAAGGCTTGATGGAGAACGAGCGCCTCCTGATGACAGAATCACTCTTCAAGGAATGGATAATAACAAACTTCGGTGAGTTAAAAGAACATGTTGTAGCCCAACGTAAAGAAACTAGGAACTTTGAAAAAAGGTTTGATGAAATCCTATTGAGAACAGACAACTTAGAGCGGAGTATGAGTGAATTAATGGAAATGAAGAATACAATACAGGAACTCCGAGAAGTATGCACAGGTTTAAACATTCGAATTGTTCAAGCAGAAGAAGGGATATCAGAGGTCAAAGTCCAACTTAATGACATAAAACGTGAAGAAAAGATTAGAGAAAAAAGGATAAAAAGGAATGAGCAAAGTCTCCAAGAAATGTGGGACTATGTGAAAAGACCAAATTTACGTTTGATAGGTGTACCTGAATGCAACGGAGAGAATGAATCCAAGCTGGAAAATACCCTTCAGGATATTATTCAGGAAAATTTTCCTAAACTAGCAAAGCAGGTCAGCATTCAACCCCAGGTAATACAGAGAACACCACAAAGATATTCCTCAAGAAGAGCAACCCCAAGGCACATAATCGTTAGATTCACCAGGGTTGAAATGAAGGAGAGGATACTAAGGGCAGCCAGAGAGAAAGGTCAGATTACCCACAAAGGCAAGCCTATCAGACTTACAGCAGATCTCTCGGCAGAAACTCTACAAGCCAGAAGAGAGTGGGGGCCAATATTCAACATCCTCAAAGAACAGAACCTTCAGCCCAGAATTTCATATCCAGCCAAACTAAGCTTCACAACTGAAGGAAAAATAAAATCTTTTATGAACAAGCAAGAACTCAGAGATTTTATTACCACCAGGCCTGCTTTACAAGAGCTTCTGAAAGAAGCATTACACACAGAAAGAAACAATCAGTATTAGCCTTTCTAAAAATACACCAAAAAGTAAAGAGCACCAACATAAAGAAGAATTTACACCAACAAATGGATAAAACAGCCAGTCAACATCAAATGGCAGTAACCCTAAATTTAAATTGACTGAATTCCCAATCAAAAGACACAGCCAAAACCCAACGGCATGTTACATCCAGACCTGTTTCACATGCAAGGATACACAAAGACTCAAAACAAAGGGATGGAGAAAGATTTACCAACCAAATGGAGAGCAAAAATAAATAATAAATAAATAAAAAGCAGGAGTTGCAATTCTTGTATCGTATAAAATAGATTTTAAAGCAACAAAGATATAGTGGTAAAAGGATCAATGCAACAACAAGAGCTAACGATCCTAACACCCAGATAGGAGACTTAGATTCAATGAGACAGAAAATTAATAAGGATATCAAGGACTTGAACTCAGATCCAGAACAAGTAAACTTAATAAATATTTAAAGAGCTCTCCACTTCAAATACACAAAATATACATTCTTGTCAATACCACATCACACCCACCCATTAGTTTAAATGAAACATTGATTGGCCATTATTAATACCCAATTTTTTTCAAAATAAAGCAATATTTCCATTTACTCTCCCTCTTTCTCTTCCTCTTTCTTCCTCTCCTTTACTTATTTTTTTTTTTTTCTTTTCTTCTCTCAAAAAAAAAGAAATCAACTTGTAAACCTCTAGATCCAGGTCGGCAATGTCTCTTTCATTGCTTGATTTCCTTTCTTCCCTTCCCTCCCTCCCGCCCTCCCTCCCTCCCCACTTCCTCCCTTCCTTCCTTCCTTCATCCCTTCCTTCCTCCCTACCGTCCTTATTCCCTTCCTTCCTGCCTTCCTCCCCCCCAAAACAAAAAAAACAAACAAAAAAAAAAGAACGAACTTCCATATCTTACAAACATCTCAAATGTTAAGAAAAAAAAATAGAGCAAAAGTGAAACTTTTTACATCTCTGGGGTTTTCTTTTCTTTTGAGTCAGAGTCTTACTGTGCACATAGGCTGCAGTGCAGTGGCGTGATCTCAGCTCACTGCAACCTCTGCCTCTCAGTTCAAGTGATTTTCCTGCCTCAGTCTCCTGAGTAGCTGGGACTGCAGGTACATACCACCACACCCAGCTATCCTCTTAGATTTTATAAACATAAAAACATTTTTTTGCTTTTTTGAGATGGAGTTTCGCTCTTGTTGCCCAGGCTGGAGTATAATGGTGTGATCTTGGCTCACCACAACCTCCACCTTCGAGGTTCAAGCGATTCTCCTGCCTCAGCCTCCCAACTAGCTGGGACTACAGGCAAGTGCCACCACATCAGGCTAAGTTTTTGTATTTTAGTTGAGACAGGGTTTCACCATGTTGGCCAGAATGATCTTGATCTCTTGACCTCATGATCCGCCTGCCTCAGCTTCCCAAAGTCCTGGAATTACAGGTATGAGCCACCATGTCCGGCCTAATTTTTGCATATTTTAGTAGAGACAGGGTTTCCCATGTTGGTCAGGCTGGTCTTGAACTCCTGGCCTCAAGTGATCCACCAGCCTCCGCCTACCAAGGTGCTGGGATTACAGGCCTAAGCCACTGTATCTGGCCTCTAATTGTTCTTTCTTTTTTTTTTTTTTTGAGACAGAGTTTCGCTCTTGTTACCCAGGCTGAAGTGCAATGGCACAATCTTGGCTCACAGCAACCTCCGCCTTCTGGGTTCAAGCAATTCTGCCTCAGCCTCCTGAGTAGCTGGGATTACAGGCACATGCCACCATGCCCAGCTAATTTTTGTATTTTTAGTAGAGATGGAGTTTCACCATGTTGACCAGGATGGTCTCCATCTCTTGACCTTGTAATCCACCCGCCTCGGCCTCCCAAAGTGCTGGGATTACAGGCGTGAGCCACCGCACCCGGCCATTCTAATTGTTCTTTCTATATGGAAGTACGGATATATTGATGAGTCATATGCATAACAAAGTCCACGCCATTTTTTTTTTTTTTGAGACGGAGTTTCTGTCATCCAGCCTGGAGTGCAGTGGCGTGATCTCGGCCTCCTGGGTTCAATCAATTCTCCTGCCTCAGCCTTCTAAGTAACTGGGACTTCAGGCACATGCCACCATGCCTGGCTAATTTTTGTGTGTGTTTTTTTTAGTAGAGATGGGGTTTCACCATGTTGGCCAGGCTTGTCTCAAACCCCTGACCTCAGGTGATTCACCCACCCCTGCCTCCCAAAGTTCTTACAGGCATGAGCCACCACACTCGGCCAACTTTTTTTTTTTTTTTTTTTAGATGGAGTTTCGGTCTTGTTGCCCAGGCTGGAGTGCAATGGTGAGGTCTCAACTCACCACAACCTCCACCTCTCAGGTTCCAGCAATTCTCCTGCCTCAGCCTCTTGAGTAGCTGGGATTACAGGCAGGCGCCACCAGGCCCAGCTAATTTTGTATTTTTAGTAGAGACAGGGTTTCTTCATATTGGTCAGGTTGGTCTCGAACTCCCGACCTCAGGTGATCCGCCCACCTTGGCCTCCCGAAGTACTGATATTACAGGCGTGAGCCACCGTGCCTGGCTGACTTTTTTTTTTAGAGAGCGGGTCCTGCTCTGTCACCCAGGTTGAAGCGCAGAGGTGTGATCCTAGCTCACTGCAACCTCAAACTCCTGGGCTGAAGTAATCCTCCCACCTCAGCCTCCCATGTACCTAGGACTATGGGTGCACACCACCACACTTGGCTTATTTTAAACTTTTTTGTAGAGATGGGGTCTTGCTATGTTGCCAGGGCTGGTGTTGAACAACTGGGCTCAAGCAATGCTCCCATTTCAGCTTCACAAAGTGCTGGGATTACAGGCGTGAGCCACCATGCCTGGCTGACTCATAGTGTTTTTTAATACCATTTTTTCCCAGCATCTATAAAATGGTCATTCAGGAGAGTATAGAAACAGCTTCTCTGAGTGAATTGCTCATCAGATTCTGATGGCAGTCAATGGAATTAACATCGGTGAGTAGTTGTACCTGTAAGAGACAAGAGAGACTATTTATTTCAAGAGTGCCCAGATGACCTGCAAACAAGTTTACTGCAATGAGGCCCCTGAATTTGGAGAAGCAATGAAAGAAGGAGAAAGGACTAAAATAACTCTTGGTTGTTCCAAACGGGAAAAACAGAAAAAAACACTGAAAATATTTTGAAGTATATCCTTCCAGAACTTTTTAATGTATATTAAAGTATACATTGTATATTTAATCACCATACCCCCTAATCCATCATTCCAGGGAAATGTACATGGGATCACTATAAAAGTTTCTCTCTCCCTCACCCCAGCCCCAAGCCTTTCCAAAGGCAGAAAAGTTGACCACTTGTCAAATAGGAGGTTAACATCTGCCGTGGATGTTAGGATGGCAGGAAGAACTCAGCCGTGTCGCTGAGCATCCAGTTATCGAAGCATGGAGTACATGGTACAATTCCTTATCACTGTTAGTGGCCTCCTGTATCTGTCCGGGTTCAAAGGGAGAAACACCACCAGTCACGCGTATGTGAGATGTGTTTCAGGGATCTGACGTTACGCAACCGCAGGAGGGAGTGGAGCGCTGCAGGAACATGCTGGAACGCACCTCGGTTCTCCTGTTCTCCGCGCCTGTCACCTCGGCAGCGAGGACTTCCCGTAGAGGGCGGGACCCTTCTCCAACAAGCTGCACATGCCTGGCCCTGGCAAGGCGAAACGAGGCGCCAAGAGGCTGAGCGCCCGGAACAGTGGCTCATGCCTGCAGTCCCAGCACTTTGGGAGGCCGAGGCGGGCGGATCGCTTGATCTCAGAAGTTCGAGAGCAGCCTAGCCAACATGGCAGGATCCCAGTCTCTGCTAAAAATACAAAAAACGTAGCCGGAGGTGATGGCGCCAGCTCGTGGTCCCAGGTACCGGAGCGGCTAAGGTTAGAGGAGGCTAAGGCTGCAGTGAGCGGTGATCACGCCACTTGCACTCCAGCCTGAGCCACAGAGCCAGACCAGGTCTCAAGAAAAAAACAAGAGGGCGGCGGCGGCGGCTCTCCGCCGGGCCTGGGAGCCCACGTCCCGCCCAGCGCGGCAGGCGCTCCCGGACCCGCCCCTGCCGGCAGCAGGGAAGGGCGCTCTGGGCCACGTGGTCTCGCGGCCTACCCGCCCGCTCCGGATAGGATCAGGTGGCCTGCCCAGAGCTGCTCTGAGAGGAGTTAGCGTTGGGGAGCCTCAGTGCTTCCTGATACCAGGCGGCTGAGAGGCAACTTAACGTTTTCTGAGGAAACTGTTTTTTTTCTTTCTACACAAAAGAGGTCAGCCCTATCCCTTGTTTCTCATTTTTCACCCGTCTCTCTCATTGCCCCCACATACCAGTTTTATCCACAGTTGAACTGGGAAGTAGTTGGGCATGGTGGTGGCACGCGCCTGTGGTCCCACCTGATCATCAGGCTGATGCTGGGGGATCTCTTGAGCCTGGGAGGTCGAGGCTGCAGTGAGCTGGGATTGCACCATACACTCCAGCCTGGGCGACACAGTGAGACCCTTCAACAAAAAATAATTTTACTAGACGAGGCCGGGCACGGTGGCTCACCCCTGTAATCCCAGCTCTTTGGGAAGCTGAGGTGGGTGGATCACAACATCAGGAGTTCGAGACCATCCTGGCCAATGCGGTGAAACCTTGTCTCTACTAAAATACAAGAATTAGCTGGGTGGTGGCACGCACTTATAGTCTCAGCTACTCAGGAAGCTGAGGCAGGAGAAGCCCCTGAATCCAGGAGGCGGAGGTTGCAGTGAGCAGAAATTGAGCCACTGCACTCCAGGCTGGGCAACAGAGGGTGACTCCCAACTCAAAGTAATAATAATAAAAATAGGCCTGGCACGGTGGCTCATGCCTGTAATCCCAGCACTTTGAGAGGCCAAGTTGGGCAGATCAGGAGCTTGGGCGTTCAAGACCAGCTTGGCCAACATGGTGAAACCAATCTTTACTAAAGATACAAAAAATTAGTTGGGCATGGTGGCATCCACCTGTAATCTCAGCTACTCGGGAGGCTGAGGCAGGAGAATTTCTTGAACCCTGGAGGCGGAGGTTGCAGTGAGATCAGCCATTGTACTCCAGGCTGGGCAGCAGGGCAAGACTCTGTTTCTAAATAAATAAATACCTCAGATTTGTTCCATTATTCTGGGATTTTTTTTTTTCATAAAATGCTCAAAACAAAAATGTTAGCATGACACATTGTTGCTTAATAAATCCCGCAATTATAAAAATAAAAAATATAAATACAAACATTAGCTTGGCTTGGTGGTTCATGCCTGTAATCCCAGGTACTTGGGAGGCTGAGGCTGGAGAATTGCCTGAATCTGGGAGGTGGAGGCTGCAGTGAGCCGAGATCATGTCACTGCACTCCAGCCTGAGCAACAGAGCCAGATTCCATTTCTAAATAAATAAATAAATACCTCAGATTTGTTCCACTGTTCTGGGATAAACCTTGGGATTTATTTTTTTCTTGTCTTTTTTTTTGAGATGGAGTTTCGCTCTTGTTACCCAGGCTGGAGTGCAATGGCACGATCTCGGCTCACCGCAACCTCCGCCTTCTGGGTTCAAGCAATTCTCCTGCCTCAGCCTCCCGAGTAGCTGGGACTACAGGCACGCACCACCATGCCCAGCTAATTTTTGTGTTTTTAGTAGAGATGGGGTTTCACCTTGTTGATCAGGATGGTCTTGATCTCTTGACCTCGTGATCCACCCACCTTGGCCTCCCAAAGTGCTGGGATTATAGGCGTGAACAACCGCGCCCAGCCTGGGATTTATTTTTTTCATAAATAAAATGCTCAAAACAAAAATGTTAGCATGACACATTACTGCTTAATAAATCTCACCATAAAAAAATATAAAAGTTCTAGGCCAGGTATGCTGGCTCATGCCTGTAATTCCAGCACTTTGGGAGGCTGAGGTGGGCGGATCATGAAATCAGGAGTTGGAGAGCAGTCTGGCCAATGTGGTGAAACCCTGTCTCTACTAAAAAAAAAAAAATACAAAAATTAGCTGGGTGTGGTGGTGGGCACCGTAATCCCAGCTACTTGGGAGGCTGAGACAGGAGAATTGCTTGAACTCAGAAGGCAGAGGTTGTGGTGAGGTGAGATCTTGCCACTACACTCCCACCCAGGCAACAACAACAACAAAAGTACATATATACATGTATATATACATATATAAGTTCTGACAAAAAGCTAGACAATATCAAATGCAAAGCATCAAGTCAGCTCTCAGAGCAGGGCCTGGAACCCACCTGGCCTGGTCCACTCTGTGCCATCACCCTCTGTCCCACGAGAGTCAGGCTCAAGAGCCACTAGCTAGACTTCTTCTCACTCCTGTCCCCCTAACCTGTAGGGCTGGTGGTTAGGCAGGAACGTGAGGCTGATCACAACCTTAGGGCCAGACTCCTCCATCCAAATCTGGGGGTTTTGAAATAGAAGTTACGCTGAGAAGGAATTTTATGTATTTACTTTTTTATTTTTATTTTTTTAAAGATGGGGTTTCACCATGTTGGCCAGGCTGGTCTCGAACTCTCGACCTCAGGTGATCCACCTGTCTCAGCCTCCCCAACGTGCTGGGATTACAGGCGTGAGCCACCATGCCCGGCCTTATTTTTTTACTTTTTTTTTTGAGATTGAGTCTTGCTCTGTTGCCCAGACTGGAGTGTAGTGGTGTCATCTCGGCTCACTGCAACCTCTGACTCCCAGGTTCAAGCGATTCTCTCTGGCTCAGACTCTCACGTAGCTGGGATTACAGGTGCCCACCACCACGCTTGGCTAATTTTTGTACTTTTTTTTTTTTTTGAGACAGAGTCTTACTCTGTTGCTCAGGCTAGAGTGCAGTGGCACGATCTCAGCTCACTACAACCTCTGCCTCCCAGGTTTATGTGATTCTCCTGTCCCAGCCTCCCAACTAGCTGGAATTACAGGCATGCACCACCATGCCCAGCTAATTTTTTTGTAATTTTAGTTAGAGACAGGGTTTCACCATGTGTTGCCAAGCTGGTCTCAAACTTCTGACCTAGGGTGATCAACCAGCCTCAGCCTCCCAAAGTGCTGGGATTATAGGCACAAGCCATCATGCCTGGCATAATTTTTATATTTTTTAGTAGAGATGGCGTTTCACCATGTTGACCAGGTTGGTCTTGAACTCCTGACATCAGGTGATACGTCTACCTCAGCCTCCCAAGGTGCTGGGATTACAGGTATGAGCCACCACACCTGGCCAGGAATTACTTTTAATAGGTTATGGACCGGGTGCGCTGGCTCACACCTGTAATCTCAGCACTTTGGGAGGCCAAAGCAGGCGGGTCACTTGAAGTCAGGAGTTCGAGACTACCTGACCAACATGGAGAAACCCCATCTCTACTAAAAGTACAAAATTAGCCGCATGTCTTGAAAAAGAAAATACAAAATTAGCTGGACGTGGTGGCGCACGCCTGTAATCCCAGCTACTTGGGAGTCTGAGGCAGGAGCATTGCTTGAACCTGGGAGGCAGAGGTTGCAGTGAGCTAAGATCATGCATTGCATTCCAACCTGGGCAACAAGAGAGAAACTCTGTCTCAAAAAATAAACAAACAAACAAACAAACAAAAACAGGTTACCTTGGGTGAAGGATGGTGAGGTTAGATGCAGCACAAGAGTCAGAAACAGTTTTCCGAATTTTACAGTTTTTGTTTTTTTTTTGTTTGAGACAGAGTCTTTAACTCACCGAGGCTAGAGTTCAGTGGCACTGTCTTGGCTCACTGCAACTTCTGCCTCCCATTTTCAAGACATTCTCCCTCCTCAGCCTCCTGACTACCTGAGTCTACAGGCATGTGCCACCACGCCTGGATAATTTTTGTATTTTTAGTAGAGACAGGGTTTCACCATGTTGGCCAGGCTGGTCTTGAACTCTTGGCCTCAAGTAATTTGCCTGCCTCGGCCTCCCAAAGTGCTGCAATTACAGAGGTGGGCCGCCACGTCAGCCCAAGTTTGTTTTGTACTCTCATTTCCCTGGGGCTTCACACAAGGCCACTCACTGGGAGCAGAAGGAATCGCTAGGCAGAGGGAGTGAGTGGGGAACTGGGGAAGAACATTTATTGTGATTTTTGCAGGAAGAGAAGGGTTAGACAGGGCCAACAGGTTTGGGATTGGCTAATTTGAGTAATTTCTGGGGGTTCAGGGCCATAAGGGCTGGCCCTAGTTGTCTGGTAACTCGCCCTGGAGTAATTAGGCTGGGTGTATAATAGTCCCTAGTGTTTGAGCCTGATAACGGAGGTGGTTGGGGGTGCATACATAATCGGCAACTCAAGAAGAGGAACTAACTGGCCTGTAGCAGGGCCTAAAAACTAGGTCAAGACAGCACACACCCACACACAAACTACATTGCCTGAAAAGATATTCTTTAAAGATATTTACCTAAAGGGCCACAGATTTTATGAAATACCTGATCCTAACCTAAAATGTTAATACTCCCAACACTCCCCATTGACTGTATAAAATTATCTTCAGTTTTTTGTTTGTTTGTTTTTTGTTTGTTTTTGAGAAAGAGTCTTGCTCTGTGGCTCAGTCTAGAGTGCAGTGGTGTGATCTTAGTGGAGTGCAGTGGTGTGATCTTAGCTCACTGCAACCTCCACCTTCTGGGTTCAAGCAGTTATCCCTGGCTCAGCCTCCCGCATAGCTGGGATTACAGGTGCAAGCTACCAGGCCTGGCTAATTTTTTTTCTTTTAGATGGAGTCTCCCTCTGTTGCCAGGCTGGAGTGCAGTGGTGCAATCTCAGCTCACTGCAACCTCCAACTCCCTGGTTCAAGTGATTCTCCTCCCTCAGCCTCCCAGGTACCTGGGATTACAGATGTGTGTCCAGATGATTTTTGTATTTTTAGTAGAGACAAGGTTACAGCATGTTGGCCAGGCTGGTCTAGAACTCCTGAGTTCAGGTGATCTGCCGGCCTTGGCCTCCCAAAGTGCTGGGCGTGAGTCACGGAGCCTGGTCAGTAATGCTTTTCAAAGAGTTGAAGGCAAGGCTGGGCGCGGTGGCTCAAGCCTGTAATCCCAGCACTTTGGGAGGCCAAGGCGGGTGGATCACGAGGTCAAGAGATCCAGACCATCCTGGTCAACATGGACAAACCCCGTCTCTACTAAAAATACAAAAATTAGCTGGGCATGTTGGCGCGTGCCTGTAATCCCAGCTACTCAGGAGGCTGAGGCAGGAGAATTGCCTGAACCCAGGAGGCGGAGGTTGTGGTGAGCCGAGATCACGCCATTGCACTCCATCCTGGGTAACAAGAGTGAAACCCTGTCTCAAAAACAAAAAAATAAAAAATTAAAAAATTAAATAAAATAAAACAAAGAGTTGAAGGATGGGCCCAGTGTCTCATGCCTGTAATCCCAGCACTTTGGGAGGCTAAGGCGGGAAGATCACTGAGCTCAGGAGTTCTAGACCAGGTGAAACCCCATGTCTACTAAAAATACAAAAAATTAGCCAGAAATTGCTTGAACCTGGGAATTTGAAAGTTGCAGCGAGCCAGATCACGCCACTGCCCTCTAGCCTGGGCGACAGAGTGAAACTTTGTCAAGAAAAAAAAGAAAAAGAATGAAGAAAGAGCTCAAACTTAGCTTACTGACATCCAAGTGAGGCCCTCAATTGCTTGCTTGGCCTGCTGGGAAAATGGGCAAAGTAAGGGCAGCCAGTCCACTAACACTGGCCACTACTACCTAATTAAGCTGTGAAACCAATTCAAGCAAGTAACCAGCAAACTCAGGTATCTCAAAATTTTTCTTTCACTATTTAATACATAGTAAAAAGTGTCATTTGAAAGAACTGTCAAGTTCTCTGAAAGAATTGCAAATAACCTAGGGGTCCAGCCTTCCTGGTGGTAGCTCACTTCTTCAATGAATATCAGAGCAGCTTTAAAGGTGCACTTTTCTGTATTGGTCAAGATCATTAACCAGACAAGGCTGTGAGTGCGAAATTTGCCTGCTTCCCACCTGGATTATCTCTGGCTCCTAGAAGATTTCCACTCAATGAGAAAAGTGACATTTGGACAGGGCCTATACTGTGACTGAACAGTTCAATTGGCTTTCTCACTTCCTTCATTCTCCTCTCAGATGGGAAAGAGAGGAGACTTAGGAGAGGACATAGGAGACAGCCTGAAAGACCTGTTTCTCACTAGGATCTAGATTGCAGGAGTTGAGAACGGACCCTGGAAGCAGATGGGGCCTCCAGCCTCCATACAGCTTCCAGCTCAGACATCCAGAAACTGAGTGATCTCAGTTCCTTTGTGCCAAATGGTGGTAGTATCTACTGCTGGGTTGTTATGAGGTTTCAGTTGGATTAAGTAGAATAGTGCAAAACATAGTGAGAATGCAGTATGTGTTAGCTATGGTTATTGCTATTTAACAGATACTATGATTTTTGAGCAAGAGACATTTTTGAACCTTGGTAATCCCTGCCTACTTAATGGCACTGTCTTGGGAGAAGGGGGAATCTCAGCTGAATAGGTAAGATGATTTTTCAAGTACTACTAAGTAGGGCCAGGCGCGGTGGCTCACACCTGTAATCCCAATACTTTGGGAGGCCGAGGCAGGCGGATCATTTAAGGTCAGGAGTTCGAGACCAGCCTGACCAACATGGTGAAACCCCATTTTTACTAAAAATACCAAATAATTAGTTAGGCATGGTGGCACATGCCTGTAGTCCCAGCTATTCAGGAGGCTGAGGCAGGGAATTGCTTGAACCTGGGAGCAAGACTCAAA